TTTTTTTTCCCATTGAATTGCATTTTTTCACTAAAAGAACTTTATCATCATCACAACTCCCAGGCACTTTACGACAGCACATTTTTGATGGGCTTCAATGCTTTTTTCTCCGCTGTTCCGATCGTCGTTTACGGAATTTGCGAGCAAAACTATTCGTACAAGGAACTGCTGGACAATCCGCGCTTGTATCAATTGTACAGGAAAAATTATTTACTGTCCGCCAAACAATTCATCGTATGGATGTTTATAGGTGAAGCACGTATCTGTTTCTGTTACATATATTCCAGTTTGATAATATTTAACGCTTTTGGAAAAAATTGTTGTTGTTTTTTTTCAGCTTTCTGGCAAACAACGGTGATTTACTTCATTCCTTATTTTTACTGGAAAATCAATCCAGTTAATTTACTCGACAGTACACCATCGGATCACTGGTGTTTTTGTACCTGCATAATGCATCTCGTCACATTAGTTATTAATTTACAGGTTTGTTATTTAACAATTAATTTTTTTTTTTTTTTTTTTCATTTCTACATTACAATTAAACAAGTTGAATGCTCTTTCCTTCATTTGCAGCTATTAGTATTGAGTTCATATTGGACTTTTCCGTATTTATTGAGCATAACGCTAACAGAATTATTCTTTGTCGGATTCACATTGGTATATAGCTTATTTCACGTGTGAGCTTTGTTTTAAAATTTAATTTATTACCAATACACGCGTCCCCTACTTCAACGGAGTTAATGCATTTTAATCTACAAATAACTTTTAGATCGTTCGATGGGAACATGCTTGACGTATTCCCGAGGCTACTGTTGTCCCCTTCGATTTGGTTCCTGACACTGTTGGTAATAATTACCTGTTTGATGCCTTCGGTTCTTTACACCATTTACGAAAACGACAGACCCGCGAGGGTGCGAGGAAAGTTGGAAAGTCGGGAAAAGCACATGAGCGATATCTTTTATTCACCAGTACAACAAATGTCCACTCATCTGCCGGTAAAAGTTTTTCTCCTGATGTTGATGTACCTATTTAAAAAAAAAAAAAAAAAAAAAAAAAAAAATGTAG